ACTCATCAACTTTACCTTGAAACATCAATAAACGTTTCATAAAACACACAAAGGTAGCATGAACTTCACAAGAACTTGCTCAATGCAGAACACTGTGCTAGGGTTGAATCAGCATGTGTATGTGTTTAATAGAAAGAATTAATCTAGAAAAGAAGTGAAGCTGTGAGCCTCATGACTCAACCTTTTCCTTCCTGTGTGCTTTGTAGGTAGGATGTATTTGACAGTTAAAACATTTACATTTGAATGTTTCACGGCTATACTGTCAACACTAGAAGAAAAGGTTTTAGCCTATAGTCTGGGGAAATGTGGGTGCTGCTTCCATAGATTACGTTGAATCTTGATTCTGATGTGGGCAAAAGGCCATTGGGATGCTTGCAAGTGCACACAAACCAAGTATACATCGCTTTGTTGGAGTTTAGAGATGATAAACAGTACTGAAGAACTTTCTCCACATATGCCCTAAGGTTTGATGCTATATTTGTCCAGTTTGTCCAATAAAGCTGCTATATTTTTACCTAGAACACCTCCAGACTGTCAGCATGTTGTGGGAGGGATTCAAGCACGTCCCAAAGTTTAAGTTTGTGCAGTTAAATTGGATTACAGCACTTTGTTGCTGTAGCATAACAAATCCACATTTCCCCTCCTTTAAAAAATGACCTTGTGGAGAATTGGGAATACACTGAAAAGTATAGGATGAACAAATTATTAATAAGAAGACATATAAATATCCTGTACGAGCTATGTGTGAGTATGTGCGCATGCAAGCACAGCATCCAATCTCACAAATTAAAAATCTCTATTGCTGCACACCAACCCAATCTCTGAGCAGTGCAAGATTCCAGGGGTTCCAGGCGCTTATCCAGGGTTCGTTTTTCCTTCTGGAAATGAGGCACAGCGGAGACTGTGGTGTCTTTATTATACAGTATATGGTTTATTTACACATATATACAACCTGAGCCTACGATGGAGGGGTTCACAGCATTTATACCCCAAGAAGGTCTCGCTTCTCCTGTAGCTGCAGCCTTGGATTCAAACAGAAATCGAGCATCACTGACTGGCTGGCTGGCTCCCTAGCCTGCTGCCTTTTCTGCTTCAACCTTCTAGCTCACATAATGCCACTCTCCACTCTGGCCTTTGTCTTTCCAACTACTGGCGAGCTGAGGCACAGATCCACTTTCTTCGTTCCCTTAAGTGCCCATTAACTGGTCCTAGGCTATCACCTCACCAGGAAGCTAGCTTGGCTATTTCAGGAATTTGAATCCTTAATTAGATTTTACCACTTGCTGGATCCAGGTAAGTACAGCCTACTTCCTCCTCAAACTCATAACACTATTCCTCCCCCCCCCCTTCAAATTGCTGAGCAGCGCCAGGTACATCTTGCTAGTGCTCAATAATCAGGTTGTCTGGAAGAGCTCCTAATCTTTGCATGCCTCTATATCTTTGAAATGGAACACACACATATATATATGAGTGTCGTTATTCCAACCCAACATATTCCATTTCAAAGACAAAGGAGCAACAGAGCTAAGCTTTAGCAAAAGGGGGGGGAGGAACAAAAGGAGATAATTATTTTTACACTTTCAAAAAGTAAAAACAAATACAGCTTTTTGCCCATCGCTAACACTGTGGTTGTCAGTTCTAAATAAAGACTATTTACATAACCTTCAGCCCACTTGGAAATGTGGAACAGGAGCTCTGTGAGTAGAGACTTGCAAATAACATCTCACCAGGGTGGTTGCTCACATCTTGCTCTGCTCACCTGAGCACCTCCTCCTTTGCAGCCTGCTCCTCCGTGCCCTCCCACCATGCACCCTATGCTTCCCTCTCTGCGTTCCTCTTCTCATTCCCCCCCCATGCACTGCACTCCCCCCAAACAGGGAAGTGGCAACTCTCATTAGTGGAGAGTTTTGTTTCCATGGTACCTACCATGCTAATAGCTGTCTTCTTTCCAAATTTAACTATGGGCTCTAATGAGTGATTAAGGCAGTAGATCACCTCAGCCATTTATATGGTTCATTTACACCCTCCTGCAAGGGGGCAAGAAACCATGAAATTGCCCTCCCCAGCCTGCGGGCCAGAAGATCAGAAGGAAGCATCCTTGAAGCTCCCAACTTAAAAATGGTGTTCTCTGTGTCCAGAATGAACCGGGACAGAGAAAAGCATGCTAAGTTGGGGGGCTCTGGAGGGACTGCTATTGAGGAATAAAAATGCCCATGTTTTACTAAGAGTAGACCCACTGAAATTCATGAAGATGGCTAACAGTGTAACCTATGCATGTCAATGGGTTTTTCCTGTAATTTTATATTGTAAACTGCCCTGAGATCTTCAGATGAAGGGCAGCATATATATTATAAATTTAACAAATAATAAGTGTATTTAGGATTTAAGCCTAAATTAGGTGCCTTAATTTCAATGGGAAATCTACTGAGTGCTACCCCATGGCTCCCCAGATGTTGCTGGACTATGAATCCCATCATCCCTGCTTACATCATTGTTGGCCTCGCAGGCTGGGAACGGTGGGAGCTGAAGTCCAACAACCTCTGGAGGATCTCAGATTCCCCATCCCTGCTTGATGGTGGCCTTGGATTAACTTCCTGTTACTTGCAGAACTGAACTAAATAAAACCTATTTCCGCCTGCAACAAGAAAATCCATTCACTGCAAGCTAATGTAATCAATGTAATGCAATTGCGCCTACTTGCTGTTAGTGAAATGGCATGTTCTGGCGCTGGAAAGTGTGTGTTCTAGTCACAGAACAGGCGGACTAAGGACCAGGAATTGGGGAAAGCAAAACACTGTGACTTGGTCCTCCCTAACTGTTGTTTTTAGCAATAGGGAGCTTCCAGATCGAATCTCACTTGAAAATAGTGACAATCATGTATCAACAAACTCTGGTCACACAGTTATAGTTGTTGGGGGGAGGGGGCGTTGCATAAAAAACCCGTTTCCCCAAAACACCGTACTTTAGGTGTACAGTAACAGGAGTGGGAAGTGTGGGATAGCCCTTGGCTTGACACAATATAATCTACTATTCCCTCCAACGAATCAGGATGAAAGCTCACAATTCCAGTGCTGCAGTGTACAATGAATGTCACACACCAGGCCAAAATAATGTTGTAAGCCAGGGACAGGGAACCTGTGACTCTCTAGATGTTGTTGTGCAACACCCATCATCTCTGCTCATCTGCTCATGCCAGCTGGGGCTGACAAGAGCTGGAGTCCAGCAACATCTCTTGAGGGCCATCGTTTCTCCAAACATACATACTGTAAGTAACCCAACAGGCTAGAAATCAAAAAATATTTCCTCACATCTCTCTAGAACTTCAGTTTTTAAAATGGATCAGAGAGATCTGAGCATTTCTTCAAAGAGATGTAATTCACTTACCAGTCATGCTCAGCTGCAGCTGATGTGCTAGTGCTAGCATTTTACTCCAGATCTGGAGACTGAAAGGAAAGGATGTTTATAAAACTGCCTGTGAAACACACACAGCACGTCCTTTGACGCTCCTCCCTTATTTTCCTTTGGCTTCAATGCCTTATGCGCACTTGATGGAATGATTTAATAATATCCTCTTACTTCAGGAGAGCATGAATTCTACAAAACATAAGCCCCAGAGAAGTGAAGTTCTTCTGTATTATATATATATATAAAAAATAGTATTCGGATGCAATCTTACACCTCTTACCTGGGAGTAAAACCCATTGAAATCAATAGAACTCATCTCTGAGTTGATGTGCTTAGGATTGTGCTGTTTATCGCAGCACATAATGTTTATACAATGAACATTCAATGCCTTTTTCAGAAGAGAAATACGAGTCTGAGTTTTGTTTTTGCAAGTATCTGCCAAAGTATGTATCATCCTTAGCTTAAGGTTTGTCTCCTTGTAAAAAAATATTTTATTTGGTTGGGCAGAAAATAACCTGATCCTTTAAACTGCTGTGCAAGGCAAAAAACAACAACAATGTGATCTGTGGCATGGACTATTATTACCAGTGCAACTGTACCACACAAGGTCCAACTTGGGCTGATTGGAGGTGCAAAATCACTAAAGACTATCCTGTCCATTGCAACTGAGTTTCTTCCTCCCAGTGTCTTATACTGTGGACTGTATCAGGTTGGCTCAGGGTCAAGAGGGTATATTATTACCCTTGTCATATCCACATTCAGATGTAAATTTTGAGTTGTGACCTTACAGAACAAAACTGTGAGCATACTAGTTGTTTATATTGTTAAAAAAAACACCCCAGAATTTAGGAAATGAATCCATTTGAGAATATTGTGTCTAGATCTCGCCACTGCACTTCAAAAAAAGTCATAAACAAATAGGAATGGGTTCAGAGAAGGACAACAAAGATGGTCAGTGAAGAAAGGCAGAAAGAACTGGATACACTTAGCCTGGAGAATATATGGATTGCATGGTTTTCAAAATACATACAAAGTAACCTAACCCAGTTTTGTAGATGGCAGAACCTGGACTCAAACTACAGTCATACCTTGGGTTACAGACGCTTTGGGTTGCGCGTTTTCGGGTTGCGCACCGTGCCAAACCCGTAAGTACTGGAACAGGTTACTTCCGGGTTTCAGTGCTCATGCATGTGCAGAAGCGCCGAATAGCAACACGCGCGTGTGCAGATGCAACGCTGCGGGTTGCGAACGTGCCTCCCGCACGGATCACGTTCGCAACCCGAGCGTCCACTGTAGATTGAAAGCAGCATGGTAAGGAAAAGCATGAATGATTCTAGATTAAGAAAAACAATGTTTTTGTGTGCTACAAATAGGCTAGTGTGTGCAGTGTGTACCTGAGAGAGGGGGCATAATAGCACTGTTACAATACTAGAAGAGTTGGCACTGTAGAAGGGGCAAATATTTCTTTCCTCCTGCCCCAGAATGCAGGACTAGATCTGATGGACCTAAGTTACAGGAGGTGAGATTTGGGTTGAACATTAGGAGAAGTCGCTGAACAGTAAGAGCAGTCCAACATGGAAACCAATTACCTAAAGGGGTGATGGGCTCTCCCTCACTGGAGGTCTTCAAGCAGAGGCTGGGCAGCCATTTATTGGAAATGCTGTAGCTCTGGGTTTCCTGCATCAAGTGGAGTGGTGGCAGCAACAGAACAGATGACCTAGCTCTCTGATTCTGTGAGAATATATTGGTGGCAGGAAGAAATTGTCTGCAACAGGGAAGAAACAGAAGGTGGTTTGTAAAAGCACAGCAGACATGGCTGGTTAAAGTGATACCTGAGCTGAATTTAGACTACACACCACATCAACTCTGATTAGGAAAGCAGCTTGTGAAAGTCTCCTGAGACTCCCATGAGGAATATGTGTTTGTAGTCCTCCAAATCCAGCCGCAGCTCAGGCCCAGACATTATGCGGAGAACACTTATTAGGCAGTGTGAGGTCTCAAGACTCATACACAGGGACCTCATTCACTGAAGCTAATAGAGTAGCACTGCAGGGGAGTTCTGCCCTCTGCTTGCCCCTTGCTTAAGTATAGGCTTAGGCTGTTAAATCTCAGCCGCAACATGGCATGAACTGCAAAATGGAAATGCTCCAGGGACTAGCTTTCCACAGACAGACACACAGTGTAATCAGGAACTTTTAATAAAAATAAAGGTGGAAGTTTTGGTTTGCTTTCCTGCAGCTATCCAGAAATAAAATAAGCACAGAGAGAGGATTAGCCGGCAAAGGAGACTGGATCTTAATTAGGAAACTGTTCACCTTGCTTTGTTTCCTGTCTTGATTTTTTTTTTTAAAAAAAAAAGATTGGAACCATATGTGGGACTTAAGAGCAAGAAGGGGAAGGAAACTAGAAGCTGCAGGTGGGGCAGAACCGCTTGATTACATCATGCGGATAGTGTGGTTATTGTTAGGCACTAGGTGGCGCTGGCCTGGGTTATTCCTGGGTGGAGTATACAATTTCCTGTCTCTGTTCTTGTCTGAGAGGGATAATAAAGTTCTTGTCTAGCTTTTTGACCAATGTGTCCTCTTAGCCTTCCATGACAGGTCACTTTAATATGTGAAATCCAGTCAATGGGGGTAAGAAGCTGGCAAAATGTTATCTTTTACAACTCTTAAAGATAAGGGATACTTTGCAGAGACCACAGCTGGCAACTTGCTGCTTCCTTGGTTTCCTGGGAACTGTAGTTTGTTAAGGTTGCTGGCAACTGTAGCTCTCTGAGGAGAAAACGAGAGTTCTCGGGATTCTTTGAGTGAAACCAAGTGCTTTAAATGTGACTTGAATGTGCTTGAAATGCATGCTGTGGATGTTTCTTAGGCATAAGGTCTCTTCTTCATTTATTTGTCCAATAACAGGGAAAGGTAATTGAATTCACAAGTAAGTGAATTCCAGAGGGGAACAAACTAATATGAGGTAACCTTCAAAGAAGTGTTACATCAGTTTTTAACCACTGTAAACAAAAATGCAGCCTAATTCTATGCTGTTTTCCCACTGGGCAGGTTGCAGCACCCTATCTAGAGGCAATGCAAAAACTTTCCCTGAGGACCCAAGTCCTATTTCATTAGGTCATTCTTATCTTTTTCTGCTTTGGAATTTTGCCAAATGCAGTTGGATACTAGGCAGGCAGAGCAAAGTTTATTTAAGGTTAGCTTGTCAGATGGAATAATCCACCAGCTCCCCTGACCCCACCACCTAGCTGATTTTAAAACCCTCTCCCAGGGCTCCTTCTCCTCCAACTGAAATCAGAGTCATTTCAGGCTGCTTTAAAGTTAATAATAAAATTGATAAATTGGGAGACAGGGCCACACATTTCTCACCCTGCTTCTCTTTTGACCCTCGCCAATAACTGCAATTTGCTCCCTTAACTGCTCCATCCTTTGAACTTCTTGCACAATACAACAATTCCTAAGAGCTACAGCAAAGAAAACTGTGCCCTGAGTGATCTGGAAATGGCTGCTGCCAAGGGCATGGGCTTTCTCTTAAGAGCTCAGCAGACTTGACTCCTGCGTTTTCTGGCTGGTCAGTTCTGTAACCTGAAGTAGATGAGGGATTTAAAGCATTTCTTTCAAGTGAATTTGTATAGCTTATCTACTTAGGATGGATTTATCAGCTGGCCTCTTTTGCAAGCAGGACAATAAATCCTCATACCCATTCAGCCAAAATAAATTGTTAAGTCATGCTTTATGGGACCAGCTCTTTAGTATTATCTCTGTTTAGTTATAAGAATGATGTAATTCTAGAACCTGAATGGTAAATACATCCCCCGCTGGAGTCTGGAACCAATTCCAGATGAAATTAAATAGTGTTTTGCCATTAACTGCTGTGACCGCATTATATCCAATTTTAAAAATTGCCATCCTTAAGGTATACAAGCTCCTCCACCTACGTCTGGACATAAGCCCAGCCCACAATGACTGAGGTCCCAACTAGGTCTGAGATTGGATTTCTTGAAGTCTTCATCTTGTTGTTGTTGTTGTTGTTGTTGTTGTTGTTGTTGTTGTTGTTATAAAGGCATATGCAAGTGATAGAAGATTTGGACTGCGGCCACAGTGCTAAGAAGAGGGGATACCAACCCTTTCCTCTGGTGCTATTTTCCTCCCTTCTAATTTCCCCTGTTCCCCGCGGCTATTAGCCATGAAACGGGAAAACAACGCATACTCATACTGAACCCACCTTTGCCCTCTCTGCAGCTAAGAGCAAGGGGGAGTGTGGTGGGTTGAAGTCAAGAGCTGATTACAGATCTCCCGTGCCATGTCTAAAATGGCCTTGAATTAATTTAGTTCCTTCCTTACCTGAGAAATTCCCCACCTGATCGTGCCAACAAAGATATGTATCTCTAATGGTGAAGATAAATGTGTCTACCTCTGCCCCCCCTGCCCCTCATAAAGGTTGAGAAACTTAGTGAGGATTTGTTGGAGCAAAGGGAAGGGAAGAAAACAGCACTTTGCTAGATCCATCAGCTTTGCAGTGGAATGGCTGGTGGTGGCTGGTGGTCCTGGGGACTGGTGGTGTGGAAAGCAGGGAGCTCAACAGTCAGTGACCAGTGGTAGGGCCAAGTAATTCTAGTTTTGTCCTCCTCATTCTCATCCCTGCTGGGTTAAAGAAGGGGAAAAGAGACTAAGGAGGGGGAAGCTGACAGCCTGTGTTACCCCACTGTATTGGCTGGAAGAAATCAGGCAGGTAGGGGCTGTCTGAGAGCAGACGTGAGGTAGGTGTCAGGGAACTGCCATCAGTGCCGGAGGGAGAGAGCAAAAGCCAGAGGGATTATAGAGAGCCTCCAGGGATCGGGAGAAGCAGCTCCTCTTCTGGGGAAGAGAATAAACGCAGGAGTCGGAAGTGGCGAGGCGGTCCCACGACTCCTTGCCTGGGACAAGCGGGGAAGGAAGGGGTCCTCCGCTGCCCACGTCCTCTCTGCACAGAAGGCTTTCACGCAGAGAGGGAAGGTGGAGACTGGGCATCAAGGAGCTTCTTTGCTGGAAGAAGTTTAAGAAACGCCCACTCACGGATTCTGCCAGCGATTGAGTCAGCCACGGGTGAGTGGCTCTCCGGACAGATAAAGTTTACATTAGCAGCTAGCCAGGGAGAGATTTGCCTGCTTGCGCACGAGCAACCCCTTGGAAACCTAACAGTAGGTGAATTTGGTGGCTTCAATTTCTTTCAGTTTCTCATTTCTCCAATCTGAAGTTCAGTGCTGCACATTTCCTCACCAGTTTGCAATTTTTAAAAATCCTCATGAAAAGTCCTTACTATTTTATTTCTCCGACTACACACATTTTGTGTGCAATTCTGCCCAATATGCAGTTTTGCAAAGCAATTTCCCCTAACGTAATGCATTTTTATATATTTTTTCCACTAATATGTGTGTGTTTATGCACAGTTCGCCCTGGCACATGCATTTTTTGTATATGTTACTTGGCTGGAAAACTGCATTACAAATTTCAGAGAAGTGCAAATTTCATAAAATGGCTGTGCTTTGGTCCATGTATTGTTTTGGAAAGTGCAAATTAGGTAAGCTCACCTTCAAGTGCAAACTGAATCATGTTTCTCCTCCATCCCTAGTGATAGATTGGTGCTGGTCGGGCAGCCTCCACTGCATAGGATGGACCAGGTGGTCTGAGAATAGAAGTGAAATATTCACAAAAATAAAATATCATTATCTTTTGGATTTAATTGATGGGCTAGCTTAAGGAAATTAAAGGTGGAAAGTTGAAATGATATATATGATGCTGGTTGGGAATCAGTTCACACTTGTAAGTTTAAGAGGATTTCAGATTCTCCATGTAATTGAGACAATGGTTAAATTCAGCTGGAAATCAGAATTCCAGGGAAAAGATTGTTTTGAGGAGTTGGGATAAAATGCTAAATGAACAGGAAGTGTCTCCAACTGCTGTCATAGATTAGGGAACCTGTAGAGTGCCCCCCCCAATTCTGTCACATCCACAGCATTGGACTTAAAGAGCCTCATATCACGAAAGCAGGAAGTAGCATTTTTTAATCTTCCTTTTTGGTATTGAGACAGCAATATAGATCGGCAAATCAAAGGTCTGTTTATGATAGCTAAGTTGGTAACAATTATGCTGGCTTTGTATAGAGTATGAGATCTGTGCTCTGAGAGGGTAGCAATTTTGCATGACTCAGGCCAAACTAGATATTACACTTGGGATGGGTGTAACAGTCTATCAATTTTTTAAAAAACGAAAACAGCTGCAGGAGGCTGCCACTTTTAGCAGAACCGAAGGGGAGTGGCTGCTAAACCATGCAAAATCATTTCCTTCCTTTCTGTCTCCCCCCTCCTTTCTTATTTATCCATGGGAGAAACACACAGGGTGTGTCATGAATGATCCATGATCTAAACAAATAAACAATATTCTGATTCTCCCATGCCTATTCCTGATTAATGAGATATCCTCTCATCATAAACTGCAAGTTCAACTCCTAAGCAAGCAAAAATTCACAACACACGACAAATACCCTTCCTCTCTGCAATATAGTCCAAAGAAACTCTTCCATCCCATTTAGTACTTTCAATGTTGCACTGGTTCTCAGAAAATGTATTTTTTACAGACTGGCATAAGAACCAGTTTACCTTTTAAGAACAGGGTTCGTCCTTTACTGTTAATAATAATCTGGAAGCCATAGCCTAGGGTTTGCTCCCATTGTCACACACATTTTTCAGACAGCATCTTCACATGCATCAGGAGGTGATTATGGTTTCACACATTCTGCACATGAATTACTCCGCCAATGTCAACACAACAGTTAATCAGAGGAATAAGGTCTGATAGACTCCATTTGTGGAGAGGAAGGTCCTCTGCATTCCTCTTTGCCTCTCCAAACATTCCCACACAGCATAAGACCATTACAATGAACCCACCATACCTGTTTACCAGAACCATCTTGGCAGGCTGGGACAGAAGAACGAGAATGGTGTGCAGGATGCCTTGGACTGCAAAGCTGCACTGCTGTGGGGAAGAAGCCCCTCTTGAGATGTAATGCTGTGAACTATCTTCCTCCACCCAGGTGTGCAGTATCTAGGTGTAAAATAAACCATGTATTTTAAAGCGCTACACTCTCTGACATGCCTGAATTCCCAATGGAAACACAACCCTGTAACCGCCTGGAATCTTGCTACCACTCAGCAGAGACTGGAGGTGGCACACAACCTTCGTAAGCATATAGGTCCTATGACATCAAGCATCCTTGTCTACTACAAACACTGTCTACTTTAGCTAAAATGGCAGCAGTTTGGGAATGGAGGAATTAAGCCAAGTTGAGTTACAGGTATCTCAACAATGGTATCTCAGTGATCTGCCTGCATATTAAGCCCCTGTTTGAAAGCACCCTATGAGGATCCACACAGAGGGTTAGAAGTAGTACTAAACTTGGTTAAAAAAAAACAAAACCCCAAAGCCAGCTGCTGAATATCAATTGCCTCAACCAACATGTAGGAACCTTTGCTATGAACACAACTGCTGGCTCTGCTAGAGCGGGTTTGTGCATGGACAACAAGGTTAAGAAAGCCCAGGGTGGCACCTAGCTTGGTTATTGCAGGTCTTTTATCACGTACAGTCTATCTGTTTGGCACATTATGGTTATAAGATTTCCTAATAGATAAAATGTCTTTTAAGTACCAGAGGGAGATTGGGGGTACAATACAATATAGCTTTTATTTATAAAGCCTTTTACAAATGTCCCAGGGAGCTATTTTGCAAAGGCAGGAGCAGACAAGTACAGCACGATAACAACGAATCACAGTTCATTTACTGCACATCTTATGTCATGGGGTCTGATTTCCAGCTTTAGCTCTAAAACCAAACAGGGAATTTGCTTGGTGAGTTTCTGCTGCTAATGTCTTGACAGTATAATCTTATCATTGTTTACATGGGGTTTACAGATGGGCAAACTTGACCATTTCAGTTTGTCTCCATATCATTTTTCCAGTCTTAAATTCTATTCTACTCATTTCCACATTAGTTAATCTCCCCCCCCCCCTTTAAAATTAATCATGGAAATGAATCAACATCTTAGTGCAATTTTCTCCAATCTACGTGTTTGTATGCGATTTTACTGAAGGTACAATTTTTTTTGCAAATCAATGTTCCCTAAGGTTATGCATTTTTTTCTGCTATCTTTGTTAATATATGCATTTTCTACACATTGGGGTAGAGAACTGCATTGCAAAATTCTGAAAAGTATTAATGTTGAAGGAAGGCTGTGTGCTGTTTTGCATATTGTTCAAGACACTGGTGTTTCTTGCTGCCCTTCCACTTGTGTTGCATCTGAATCCTCTCTCAGGCGCCTCTCCTGGGCGTGGAGATCTCTGTACAACCCAGCGGAGGTTACTGAGTGCAAGGGCCATTCCTCTATGGTGGGAGATCTGAGGCTCATGGGTCTCTCTAAATGCCGTCATCATGTAGCTTTGCAATTAGAATAGCCATTGAATAATGTCAGTCATATGTGCAGATTTCATACAAAGTTTAAGCAAAGGCAGATTTATAAGTTAAACAGTTCTCCCACCTTGTGGCTAAGCTGAATATTACTGCCAAGATAGCATTTGCGTTAAATAATCAGAGGATGTAAATGCATATTCATCCCAATATTCATCACGGCATGGAGAAAGTGGATAAAGAAAAGAACTTCCTCAGCCCCATAACACTAGAACTTGTGGATATCCAGGGAAGCTGAATGTTTGAAGACTCTGGACAGTTAAAAGGACGCACTTCGCCTTGCAACACATACCGGTAGTTAAACGAAGGAACTTGCTCCTACAGGAAGCACTGATGGCCACCAACTTAGATGGCTTTAGAAGAGGATTAGACAAATTCATGGAGGAGAGAGCTATCCATGGCTACAAGCCATGATGGCTATGCTCTGCCTTCACAGCTGGAGACAGCAATACTTCTGAATACCACTCGCTGGAAGCTCCAGGAGGGGAGAGTGCTCTCGTGCTCGAATCCTGCTTGCAGGTTTCCCACAGGCATCTGGTCGGTCACTGTGAGAACAGATGCTGGTTTAAATAGGCCATTGGCCTGATCCAGCAGGCTCTTCTTGGGTGCCGTCTTAATGCTCCGGAAACTGTGTGTGAAACGTGCTTCATACAGTAATTATTAAAGTTGCTCCACCTAACATTGTGATTAGTCTGTCAGATGCTCCGCAAATACTTTTCATCACCTATTTAAGAGCCAGAGGAACTATAGCACAAAGGGCAGTTGCTGACAAATTATCTCTATAGGCTGAGACCTGTGTCCACTGCAATCAATATCCCTCACATGTAATAAAAAAAATCTGTCCACAAGGTGGAAAAAAAACATTCTTACCCAATGGAGACTATTACCCTAATCTGGTGGAGCAGAAAATCATTAAAAAGCTGCCTTATTGGTCTAACTAGCTCAGTATTATTTACACTGACTCTCTAGGGTTGCAGACAGAAACCCTGCAGACAGGGTTTCCAGCCTACATAGAGGCGCCAAGGATTGAATTTGGGGTCTTCTGCATGCAATGCACGTGCTCTGCCATTGAATTATGGCTTACAGCTTATATAAAGATGTAGCAATTTTTCCTTGTTTCAAGGATTTCCAGCTCTCAAAATGTAATTCAAAATCTCACAATATCATATTTGGTCTCTGTGTGCAAACGTTCAAGGATGCAATTGAAGGGTGGAGAACAATCTATAGCAACGATGCCATGACCAAAAAATAGAGGAGAGGGGCAAACTAACTCCCAATTCCCCCCACTGCTGAACAGCTGGACCACATCAAGTTCATGCATAGGTCACAGGCAAGCTGGAGACAGTCAGCTCGGGTATCCACAGCAGTGACCAGAGGAGAAATAACTGCTGGGAGGAGTGCAAAGAGAGGAAAAGCCATGGTGCATCTGTAACAGCGAAATCGGATGCCTTTATCTGCCCCAACTGCAATAAAACATGTCTCTCCCATATTGGTCTCTACAGCCACAGCAGGTTTGACTTTACCCCTAAAAGTGCATTCTTCCATTGCCTCTCGAGACGGATGCCAGCAATGTACACTTGCTGAGCATTGATCTGCCAAAAGGCTGGATGCAGTGCCATCCCACTGAGCTCAAGCCAAGCAAGACCTTGTGATAAGTTTAGGAGGACAGAGGTCAGCTCCTTCTTCCACATTATATCACCTATACCTCCCAAGGGGCAAGAGAAAGCTGAAGAAATCAGCTGAGCTTCCTTATGTTGGCCAATCCATGTTGGCCAATCCAAGCATGGCCACATAAAGAATGAATGCAGAGTTCCAAGGGAAAGGAGGAGATGAGGGACAGAATGAGAATGAGGACCGACAATATTATTCTACATGGGCTCAGTATGGTACCTCCTCAATACAGTATTCCAGAATAAAGTGATGCCAGGGAAACCTGGAAAAATATTGTTGTTGTTGTTGTTTAGTCATTTAGTCGTGTCCGACTCTTCGTGACCCCATGGACCAGAGCACGCCAGGCACTCCTGTCTTCCACCGCCTCCCGCAGTTTGGTCAGGCTCATGTTTGTAGATTCGAGAACACTATCCAACCATCTCATCCTCTGTCATCCCCTTCTCCTTGTGCCCTCCATCTTTCCCAACATCAGGGTCTTTTCCAGGGAGTCTTCTCTTCTCATGAGGTGGCCAAAGTATTGGAGCCTCAACTTCACGATCTGTCCTTCCAGTGAGCACTCAGGTCTGATTTCCTTAAGAATGGATGCGTTTGATCTTCTTGCAGTCCATGGGACTCTCAAGAGTCTCCTCCAGCACCATAATTCAAAAGCATCAATTCTTCGGCGATCAGCCTTCTTTATGGTCCAGCTCTCACTTCCATACATCACTACTGGGAAAACCATGGCTTTAACTATACGGACCTTTGTTGGTAAGGTGATGTCTCTACTTTTTAAGATGTTGTCAAGATTTGCCATCGCCTTTCTCCCAAGGAGCAGGCGTCTTTTAATTTTGTGACTGCTGTCACCATCTGCAGTGATCATGGAGCCCAAGAAAGTAAAATCTCTCACTGCCTCCATTTCTTCCCCTTCTATTTGCCAGGAGGTGATGGGCCCAGTGGCCATGATCTTCGTTTTTTTGATGTTGAGCTTCAGACCATATTTTGCGCTCTCCTCTTTCACCCTCATTAAAAGGTTCTTTAATTCCTCCTCACTTTCTGCCATCAAGGTTGTGTCATCTGCATATCTGAGGTTGTTGATATTTCTTCCGGCGATCTTAATTCCGGCTTGGGATTCATCCAGCCCAGCCTTTCGCATGATGAATTCTGCATATAAGTTAAATAAGCAGGGGGACAATATACAGCCTTGTCGTACTCCTTTCCCAATTTTGAACCAATCAGTTGTTCCATATCCAGTTCTAACTGTAGCTTCTTGTCCCACATAGAGATTTCTCAGGAGACAGATGAGGTGATCAGGCACTCCCATTTCTTTAAGAAATTGCCATAGTTTGCTGTGGTTGACACAGTCAAAGGCTTTTGCATAGTCAATGAAGCAGAAGTAGATGTCTTTCTGGAACTCTCTAGCTTTCTCCATAATCCAGCGCATGTTTGCAATTTGGTCTCTGGTTCCTCTGCCTCTTCTAAATCCAGCTTGCACTTCTGGGAGTTCTCGGTCCACATACTGCTTAAGCCTGCCTTGTAGAATTTTAAGCATAACCTTGCTAGCGTGTGAAATGAGTGCAATTGTGCGGTAGTTGGAGCATTCTTTGGCACTTCCCTTCTTTGGGATTGGGATGTAGACTGATCTTCTCCAATCCTCTGGCCACTGCTGAGTTTTCCAAATTTGCTGGCATATTGAGTGTAGCACCTTAACAGCATCATCTTTTAAAATTTTAAATAATTCAGCTGGAATATCATCACTTCCACTGGCCTTGTTATTAGCGATGTTTTCTAAGGCCCATTTGACTTCACTTTCCAGGATGTCTGGCTCAAGGTCAGCAACCACACTACCTGGGGTATACGAGACATCAATTTCTTTCTGGTATAGTTCCTCTGTGTATTCTTGCCACCTCTTCTTGATGTCTTCTGCTTCTGTTAGGTCCTTTCCACTTTTGTCTTTTATTATGGAAATCTTTGTACAAAATGTTCCTTTCATATCTCCAATTTTCTTGAACAGATCTCTGGTTTTT